TAAGGAAATCAGTGGTTGCCAAAGGTCAGGGGAGGAGGCTCAGAGGGTCCAGATGGAGTAGTTACAAAACACATCTGAAAAATGTGGGCAACTATCCTGACTGTGGTGATGGTTTTACAAGTGTGTGAAACCATTTCAAGTTTACATATATGCCCAAAATTCTTCTAATTGTGTATTTTAATATGTACAGTTTACTGTATGTCAGTTAAACCTCACAAAAGGCCTTTAAGAATAACAATCAAACAAAAGAAGCATATCCGTACAGCACCCTAACGTGCAGGCTGTGTTGATACTGTTAGGACCTCAGGAGGCTGAACAGCCTGCTGTCACCCATATTTACTCTGCCAGTCTCCTGGTAGAAATATTTGATTTAAGTACTTATTACATTACTATTTAATTATTATAGCATAAATTAACATCTGAGCGTATCAAAGAAATCAGAAGTATTTAATAATTTAAAAGTGACAAAACTGTGCTTCAAAGGTTTATAAGGGGTGCCTACAAGTTTGTACAAGTATAAGGTTAAGCTTAAGGTAGTAGAAAAATACATTTGCACTGGCTCATAAATGTGATGTACTAGCCACTGTGAACCACAAGAGCTCAGACCTAAGGCATGGAAATTTTGTTAGGCAAGACTTTTTTGGCAGAGGCAGGAGAACTACTGTGAGTTTGAGGCAAGCCTGGGCTACATAGCAAGATTCTGTCTTCAAAAAAAAAAAAACAAACTCAAAAAATATAGATCAAGAAAATTCGAGCTGAAGCTTTGTTTTTGTTCAGAACTACTCTACAGGTGAGGTAATACAACTTATCCTACTGTTTATCCAGTTACTTCAGGTAGGTGATCAATACATCTTCGTTGTTACTATTTCATACAGAAAATACATTTTTTAAAACATTTCCTAGTACCTCCTCTCTTATGTTACAGTTTATACAAACCAAATAATTAAATTTTTGACCATAGGTCAATAGAGAGATCTTTATTAGACTTTGCTGATAAGTTTCAGATTTTTTCACAATTCCACACACAGTTGTACATCATCAGGTGATTAGCTTAGACTTTGTAATAGAGGGTACTTTAAAACATCCTTCCCAGGAAGAAAGGAGCTAAAGGTGTAGGGAAGGTGGGATGGGTAGGGGAAGGGTAATAAGGGAAAAGAAAAAAAATGTGAGAGAATGAAAAGATGGAAATAAAGTGTTTGTAGATGGGGAGGGGAGGAGGGGGTGAAGGGAGGACAGGGGGAAGGGGAAAAAATGAGAATTAAGACTTGTCATGTAGAGGTACAAGATCCCAACAATGAATGTAACTGTACTGTATCCCTAAAATGTACCAATAAACTCAATTAAAGCTGAAAAAAAATTCCTTCCCAGAACTGCCAGGCAAGGTGCCTTACGACACCTTGGGCAAAGGTGGGTAAGAAGAAAAGGAAGGTATAATACAAAGCTTAATATATCTCAGAGGAACAGGTCTAATATATACTTTGGAGAATCCTGTAAACACAGAGAGTCTAGTATCCTGGTGGCAAGTATGGTGTGGGAAACCTATGTAAACCTACCAACTGCCTCCAGGAAGGCTGTGTCAGTTGGACTGGGGACTCTTGGTGACATAGGCTCCATAAATTCTATATTCCTCTACATTTTTCTTTTTAAGCTGCAATTTAAAAAATCAAATAAAAGCATATGTAGAATGAAAATTTTTTAAAAAGCCATGCAAATGGGTTACGGCTTTGTTTGAACTGGCAGGAGATTGGGACAGGGCAGCCCTACCTGTTTCCACCCCCCACTCACACACCTGAGAAGTCTTGGAAACCTAACACCCTGTGTTCCAAGAATATAGTGTGAAAAATTTTCACTACTGGTTTACTTCCCCTTACGCCTATTAAGTTTTAACTGACCATCTCCTGTAAGAAGGTCATGATGGTAGTTTAAAGGAAAGCACAGGCTTTCTGGTTCCTGAACTACCTCACTATGATGTTGAAAGCCAACTGGGTTAGTGTCTGAGTCAGTTAACTAATGTTTTGTGGTTCACTAATGTGGGATTGCTGTCAGGCTACCTCCCTGGTATGAAGATGGTTTCTTTTATGTCAAAAGGGATGACAAATGACAAAGTATCAGCGTTTAGAAGCCATATTTAATGATTCACCCTTTTCTTGAGGTTTACTTTCAACGTGCCAGGACCTACTCATGTGAAGATACGTACGCTTAGGTTGAGACCCCTTAGAAAGGCAAATATTCAAAAGCTAAAGCGTTGAAAATAAGGTCACCTGTGCTAGCTAATTAAGATCACAGAATAATGTTTGATAAAATGTTTTCTTTTTATAGCCTGAGATCTCTTAATTCTTATTTCCACATAAGTTAGCAAACAAGTTAGCAAATCTATTTCATCATCAGTTGTATGAAAGTGCAGCTCATACAATTATGTACAATACTTAATACTTGATAATGATAAATGACTGTTGTTGGCTTATGTATTTGCCAAACAACTCTACTTGTGATCATTATTTTAGAATGTACTCCTTTTACTTACATAAAGGAAGAGTTAACTGTGAAATAGCTGCAGGCAGTGGGTCTTTTAGGAGGGACTCCAGGAAGAGGCTTTGGGGCCCTAGGGGATGACAACTCCACCAGCGTTACTGACCCTGAAAATCCCCTGGGGGCACAGTGTGGAGGTAGCAGATGGTGATGCTGATGGTTCTGAGCCTGTATAGGCCTGGGTTAACATGTGTGCTGCTTGTATCTCAGTTTTTAACGAAAACATTTAAAAAGTTAAAAAATTTAAAAGTGGGGCCGGGGATTTAGCTCAGTGGTTCCACCGCCTGCCTTGCAAATGCAAGGACCCGAGTTCGATCCCTGGTATCAAAAAAAACAAACAAAAACTCCAAAAATTTTTTTTTTAAAAAGTGGAAGACAGCTTACAGAATTATGATGTGAGGAAAGAAATTATTTTTGAATAGCTATATAAATGTTTGTGTTTTAAAATATATTAGTCCTAAGCCGGGCGTGGTGGCTCACACCTGTAACCCCAGCACTTGGGAGGCTGAGGCAGGAGGATTGCTGCAAGTTCGAGGCCAGCCTGGGCTACATAGTGAGTTCCAGGTCAGGCTCAACTACACAGTGAGACCCTGTCTCAAAAAAACCAAAAAACCAAAAAAAAAAAAAAAAAAAAAAGTCCTACCAAAAAGTAAAATATTAAAAAAAGCTAAATTCTATAAAGTAAACTAAAAATGAAGTATTGAAAAAAGAATTAAAAATAAATGTAGTGTAGCCTAAGTGTATATAAAGTCTCCAGCAGTGCGTCGTAATGTCCTCAACCTTCACATTCATGTTCCTCTCACTGAGTGACTCAACAGACCAACTTCCAGTCCTGCAAGTTCCATTCCTGGTAAGAACCCTACAGAGGTCAGAGGTGCGCCAAGTTTATGCTTTGCATTATTCTTTTATTGTGCTTTTCCTGTGTTTAGATACACATTGTGATACAGTGGCCACAGAATTCAGAGCAGGAGCACCATGTGTGTGTGTGTGTGTGTGTGTGTGTGTGGCCGGGAGACAGTAGGCCTAGGTGTAGAATAGGCTCTAACCTCTACACACTCCATGATGTTTCCACAAAGACAAAATCACCTAACGCTGCATTTCTTCAAACATATTTTTGTTTTTAAAAAACATAACTGTATGTTCCCTTCATCTTTTTGGTGAGTGCACCTATTTTAGTGTAACAGTTTATAAACATTTTGCAATTCCCTTTTTACCTATGACAGAGATTTCATTTTATAGTGGTGGTCAGTTTACTATGGGGAGGTGGAAAGTAAAGACCTGTAGAAAAGAATATTTATTAGTTTTATCATGTTGCCAAGCAACTGTTAATTTAAAAAGTCTTAACTAGTTTTGATTGCTTGGGTGATTACATATTGGAATAAAAGACAACGGGCACAACATTTAACCTCTAACAACCACAATGCCTAGTATATTTTTAAAATCTCATATTGCTTAAAAGACAAATACATAAAGTGAAATCATTTTTAGTACATTAAGCCCTAAATAACCAAACATCACCATTATGAAAAAAAATTTACTGAGTGTATTCTAGACAGTGATCCCTATCCTAGTTACTAAGTACAAGTAAATGAATAAAACATTAACCTTACCCTTGTTTCTTCTCTACCAGAATGAACCCTATTGGCAAACTGTCCACAATAAATAAGGATTTTCATATCATACAAGCAACACATGGCACTCTCATCATGGGAGGGGAACAAGGGCAAAGTCATACACAATCTGATTTGTGAGTAAATGATAGCAACTCATAGATTTTTCAATAAGCAGTGAGCACCCTGGCTGCCAGTATCTGTTTCTGGGCCCATAAAGTCAGTATTGAAAGAGAAGCCTGTAATTTTCTTAGCAAGAAAGAACACTTAATACATTTCCATGCAAATGCGAAGTGAAATGTGCCATTAGTCTTCTAAGGGATCTCAAGGCCACGTTCAGAACAGTATTTAAGGGTTTTTCAATGGCGCTCCCAGATGCATGTAATTCGGTGCACTAGGAGGTCACTGGAGGTTTGAGGGGCCCAGGACTGTTGGAGGAGAATGGCTCAGGTTCTGTGTTTTTCCACTTGAGGTGAGAATCTGTTAAAATGAATACTCTGGGCTGCCCTGGAGATGGGAAATGGTTGGAGAAGAATTCCTTGGGTGTAGGTGGAAATAGCCAAAGGATGCCCATGGCTGTATTTTACAGACTTATTGACATGGAGGGATACATGGAATGATTGTTTTCATATCAGCCATATGTATTTCTGTGTGTGCATGAGTGTGTGTGTGTGTGTGTGTGTGTGAGTGTGTATGCATTTGGTACCAACCACCACATTTGCTTCTCCCTCCAAATCACACTTTGCACCCACAACTTAAGGACGTCTCTCAATTTAGTAATACACAATGAAACTATACTTTCTTGTACTTAAAAGCAATAGTGAACCACATATATGGAAATAAATGCTTCTGTTCACTTACCTTCTCCAGTGCAGCTTGAACAACTGATTCGCTTTCTGTATCTAGCGCAGATGTAGCCTCATCTAAGATCAGAATTTTGGGGTTTCGAACTAAAGCTCGAGCGATTGCGATTCTCTGTTTCTGCCCTCCACTCATTTGAGCTCCTTTTTCTCCCACCAAAGTATTAAACTTCTAATATAATGTAAGGGGGGGAAAAAGGCAAGAAGTAGAAGGTAGGATGATTAAATGATTCCAACAGGAAATGACAAAGTTGTGTTTTAATACCCTCTGAATCACTACGTTAGCCAGGCTGCTTACGACTTTTAATACGTTCTTGGTTAAAAAAAGAATCTATGAAAGAAGATAAGAAAAATTTGGCTAGGACTAACACAAATTAGAGCATATAACAAACAAGAGTTTCTATTGGAGCTCATTTTCAAATTTCTTTTAGACATTCTTAGAATGCTTTAAAATCTTTAAATGTCTCTTAATACACTTCCATTCCTATTATTTGAAAAGTTCATTAGCAATTTGATGCATTAGCCACAATTTCCTTCCTGTATACTTGGAAAAGCAGTGTGAAAAAATTACGGCAAGAAACGACTTCTCCCTAAAACTTTTTTTTTTCAATCTTGGAAAACTTTTTTAGCTTTTCTTTTATTTTTAATATTATCTTTAATAAAGTAGATACTGTTATAAATTTATGATGAGGGTAACTACCTGCAACAGTGAAGTAGGTAACATTCCATTGCGTTATGTCTCTAATTCAAAGTTCATTTCTTCAAGTTAAAGATGAGGTCCGATCATTAAATATTTTGAATTTTCTAATTGTAGTGAAATTATTACAATAATAGACACATTGCCACGAACCCACCCTCAATATATTCCCCTTTACTTCAAACACCCTCTTCCCACCTTCTGGAGCAGTTTTGGGAGTCTTCACTGTATCTATAGCTGTTCTGTTGTGGTTACCTCAATGTCACAAATAGATTCAAAATGTTTACCTTTCACAGTCATTTTGACTATGGAAAAGAGCCAGAAGTCACATGATGCTAGATCCAGTAAATAAGGTGGATAATTTCAGTCAACAGAGATTGTCATAAACATTTGATCAATAGGGTGTGATTGAAAGATACAGTGAATGTTTAAATTAAAAAGTTTATTACAGTAAAAGAAAAATTAATCCCCCTCAAAATACTCCTTCTCACTTTGTTTGTTTGTTTGTTTTTGTTTTTTTGAGACAGGGTCTTACTATGTAGTTGAGACTGACCTGGAACTCACTATGTAGCCCAGGTTGGTCTTGAATTTACAGGGATCCTCCTGCCTCAGCCTCCCGAGTGCTGGGATTATAGGCATGTGCCACCACACCCGGCTACTCCTTCTCACTTTGAACACACATATCCCATCATCCTTGGTAATGTGTCCTTTACTGTAATAAATTTAAAAAATTTAAACATTCATTGTATTTTCAGATTAACCCTTATATTCTTTCCAAGCTTTTAATTTCTAGAGGCTGATTTTCATAGTTTAAAACATATCAAACTTATTGTAGAATAATTTATACATAACACATTTATTTTAAGGATGCAGCTCTATGGCTTTTGTCAAATGAGTACACCCATTTTACCACAGTAAAGATACAGAACATTACTTTCATCTAGAAAGTTTTCTGATGCCCTTTCTTAGTCTAAACACAAACCCTGCCACAGGATACCTCTGATATGATTTTTTTTGTTGTTGTAAGTTAATTGTGCTGGTTTTACAGCTAGCTGCAGAGATGGAGTCATACAAGTTGCACTTTCTTTTACCCAGCACAATGTTTTTGAGATTTCTCCATGGTCTAGCCACAATTTATATTGATTTATTATTCAGTAGTACTCCACACAGTGGGATTGTTAGATTTAGTAAAACCAAACAAAGCCCACAAAAGCTCCACATAGTTCAGTTTAATTTGAATTTTAGAAAAGCAAATTTTAATGTATGTTTCATGCAGTATTTAGGCTAAAAAATTCATTGTTTTTCTGAAAATGAGATTTCACAGAGAATCCTGTGTTTCATCTAGCAGCAATTTGTTCATCTATTCAGCTGATTGTTTTCACAATTTTTTTTTTTTTTGGTACCAGGGATCAAACTCAGGTCTGTGAGTTTGCAAGGCAGGTGGCAGAACCACTGAACTAAATCCCCAGCCCTCAATTTTTGACTATAAGACATAAAGTGACTCTATGTAGTCATGTGAAAGATATTTCTGTTATCTTGTCTTCATTTCTTTTGGAAAGTACTTAGAAATAGAATACTGATTCATAATTACACGTTTAACATAATACATAGCTAAATTAGTTTCTAATTACTGGTTGTATTTTTATAAGAATGAGTGGGAATCTATTAGCTTCCATCATCACCAATAGTTTGTTAGTTCTAAAAATTTTTTTTGGTATTTATTAAGTATAAAATAGTATCTCAATTGTGTTTATTTTGGATTTCCCTGGTGACTAATAATGTTTACTATGTTTCATTTGTAATGTGCTCTTGATTATTTTGTGAAATGTTTGTTCAAGTTTTTGCCCACTTAAATTTTTTGTATTAGTTGTAATAGTTTTTATATATTTTGTATTCCTGTTCTTGTCAGACATGTAAACTATTAATATTTTCTTGTATTTTGTTTTGCCCTTTTATATTCAAAACAGTATCTTTTAAAAAGGGGGCTTTAAGTCCAGTTTACCTTATTTTTTCTTTAATGTGCTTTTGCCTGGGAATTCTTTGTCTGCCTCAAAGTTACAAAGACTTTTTGTTCTAAGTTTTTATTTTTGAAGTTTAAACTTTAACATTTTGCTCTAAGATCTATAGCAAATCAATTTTTTTTTTTGGTTGTTGTTTTTTGAGACAGGGTCTCACTACGTAGTTGAGACTGACCTGGAACTCACTGTGTAGCCCAGGCTGGTCTCGAACTCACAGCGATCCTCCTGCCTCAGCCTCCTGAGTGCTGGGATTACAGGAGTGCGCCACCATGCCCGGCTCAGCAAATCAATTTTTTGTGTGAGTGGAATACAAAGGTCACATTTCATTTTTTTCCCATATAGATATACAATTATTCTAGCACCATTTGTTTAGAAAAGTTTCTCTTTTCCTACTGAATTCTGTTTGCCTTGTCAAAGATTAGTGGATTAGGTATGTGTGGGATTATTGCTGGACTCTCCATTTCACTGATCTGTATTTTTATTTTTATGCCACTACTGTTGTCTTAAAATTATATTGTAGGTCCTCCAGCTTTGTCTTTCAAAATTGTTTTGGTTTTGATCCTTTGAATTTCCAAATAAATGACAGAATCAGGATATGTAAATTTCTACACATGCACAAAAGGATTGATGAAATTCTGACTGGTAAAGAATCAGATTTGTAGATCAACTTGAGATTGCGTATCTTTAGAATCCTGAATCTCTGAACCAATGAATAAGCCCTACCGTCTCTAAGTCTTCTTTCATTTTAGTCAGCAATGTTTTATAATTTTTACATAGAATACTTAGAAATCTCTTATTACATTTATTCTTAAGTATTTTGTTTTTTGATGCCATTGTGAATCCTACTTTTAATTTTAATTTTATTTGTAGCTAATGTTGCTATTTAGAGATCCTGTCAAATTTTTAGTAGTTTCAGGCTCATTAAAGTTATGTTTCTTGGGCCAGGGATTAAGCTCAGTGGTGCTGCTGCCTGCCTCGCAATCACAAGGTTCTGATTTTGATCCCTGGTAAAAAAAAAAAAAATTTTTTTTTTCTTTAGAGTCTTTATGATCAGTAGTCACACAACTTTCATTTCTTTTCTTTTTTGGTATCGGGGATCAAACTTGGGACCTTATGCTTGAGAGGCAGGAGGTGGAACCACTGAGCTCTATCCCGGGCCTTCGTCCTTCACTTCTGATGCTGTTCATTCCTGTCTCTCTCCCTCCCATCCACCCTCCTCGTTTTTCCTTCCTCAGTCTCGCTATAGACAAGGAGACAGCTTTGGGTTTCAGTTCTTTTCATTGATTTCTGCTCTCATCTGTATTATTTTGCTTCTCTTTTTGATTTGGTTTAATTTGTTCTTTCTCTAGTTTATTAAAGTAGAAACTTGTTTTGCTGATAATGGGATTTTTTTTCTAAAAATAAGCATTTAATATAAATTTCTCTAAAATCAGTGGTTTAACTATATTCTGCCAATAGTATTGCATTGAATTTTCATTTAGTTCAGAATAATTTTCATTTTTTTCTGAGCCTCTCTCTTTTATTACATTTTATTTAGAAATATTTATTCAATTTTCAAATATTTATGCATTTTTCAGATATATCTAAGTTACTAATATCTAGTTTTATTCTATTATGGTTGGAGAACATATTTCATATGCTTTCTCTTCATTGAAATTGCCAAAGTTTTGCTTTGTTTGTTTTTCATAGACCAGAATATTGTTTATTTCAGGGAATGTTCCACAAGAATTTATGCTGCTGTGTTGGAGGAAATGAACGTCAGTTATATTCAGTTGGTAGTATGGTTCAAGTCATCTATATCATTATTGATTTTCTGCCTATTTGTTCTAAATACCAAAGCCTACAACTAAAATTGTGGATTTTTCTATTTGAGATGTATTAATTTTTCCTTGTATATTTTTGAAGCGCTTTTCTTAAGGGAATAAATACTTTTTTATTATGATTTTTTGCTCATGAGTTATTTTCCTGTTTTGTGCACCTTTTGGCTTTGTAAATTATATGCTGAATATTGTGCATGACATGTTGGAGAGACTCTGAATTCTGTTTTCTTTTGAATAACTATTGATTTTTACTGCAATAGGCAGTTCAAATACTGACTGATCATCACCTTGAACGTATGCACTCTTAGTTTTATACCTGATGGAACGAAACCTTGTAACCTGCAGGACCCAACCCCCAAATTCAGTCTCTTCTGGGGTCTTTTCATGGCTGGGTTTTAGAGTTGGTCTTACTGTAAGATAGGGTCCTTACCTCTAAGGGGTAGCTTATTTGGCATCTTAGCATCATGTCTGAGGTGTTAAAAAGGTCTAAATGGGACTTCTCCATTCCAGCTGGGCTGCACTTCCATATCTTTCTACTCTCAGCTTTGTAATTGTTTCTCTGATAAACCTTTGCAGTCTTATCTCAAACCAGGATTCCCAAGGAATGCCCACCTGGACTTCCAGTCTTCCCTCAGTCCCACAGCTCTTTTATCACCTTTCCTAAGTTGTGCTACAATTTGATCTCTGCCTTCCAGGCCAGTGGGACCGCCACATTCTAGCTGATTAGAGTTCACACAAGTGAGGTCAGAAGTTTGCTCCTGGAAGAATGCTGCAAATTCATGGAATTTCTTCTTGGGAAGCTTTCTTTCAGGGTTCAATCTCTATCTCTTGACCCATGCTTAAAAATGATTGTCCTACACCTCATATATTTTAGCTAGTTGTGTGGTACATTATGGTTGAAAGGCTAGCCAGAATCAGCAAATTTTAATATATTAGTTTTGAAATATATATATACATATATATAATATATATGTTATATATTATATGTATAAATATATATATATTTATACAGAAGTAATGCTATTCATTTAGAAAATAGTTTTCCCTACATTTTCACTTGTCTGAATTAACTATGTCTGGAACCTTTATTTTGTCTTTTTATGGTGCTAGGGATCAAAGCCAGAGGCTTATACATTTTAGCCAAGTGTTCTACCTCTGAGCCATATCCCCATACCTGGAAATATTATTTTTATACTTATTTTTTCTATTTCTCTGGTTAGCCATATCCATGAAATTTAGTTTTCCCTGTGGTAAGCAGTACTTTGTTCTTTGGATTATAGCTTTAGGTTTTACTATTACATTTATAGGAAGAAGCATCTTTATGTAGTGTTGGCCTTTTAGCAAAGCCAATCATAATGTTTAGGGCTTTAAGAGACACCTGTTAGTTGCCTATTCCAAGTAGGAAACTGGAAAGCATTCATTATTTAAAGGAAAGCAAGTCACTGAAATGGGAAAAGGACAACAAAAGGCAGTGTTTTTCCAAACTCTAAGCCAATCACAACAAAGCCTTTATGATTTTGGTGGCCTCAATACTGTGCTGATTATGAGCCTAAATAACGGGACAGGAAATAATTACTGGCATAATAAATCTTTTCATTTTCTAAAAAAAGAATTCTTACCAATTTAGTAGTGGTTCATAAAATATGTCAAGGTGGTTTTTTGGTACTGTTAACTTCTGTTATTTTGAAATTTTATATGTATTTTATTTTATATTTCTGTGGTGCTTGGGGTGAAACCCATGGACTTGGGCACGCTAGGCAAGTCCTTTACCAATAATCTATACCCCTAGTCACTATATGTATTTTAATTTCAAATATCATTCTTTCATATTTCACGGGGTGCTCCGTGCAACAATTTCAGGTTATAACGATGAACTAAAACTTCAGTAATTATTTATAAATAAAAGGTTTTATAGCTATCAATTCTAAATACTCATTGAGATATGATATGTGTTATTACTAATACTTTTAGTTTAGTATATCTCTTTACAGGTATGATTTCACATTTCTTACCCAATATTAATGCTATGTGCTTTAAAAAGTGTTTTCCCTCTGCATTATTAGAGAACCAAGCAATATATTGTGTTGACATTCCCATTCTTAGCCACAAGATGGCCTCACAAGTCAACTTTTTATAGTTTCTTAGTACAGGCTGATGCTTTTGTCTTGTATATTTCTTTGTTATACTTTATTTTTCATTTTTCCCCCACGTAGTGAAAAACAATAAGAACTAAATATGACACTTTTAAAACTAGGCTTTCAGGTCAGGGGGTGTAGCTCAGTGGTTCTGCCGCCTGCCTTGCAAGTGCATAGGTCCCAAATTTGATCCCCAGTACCCCCCACCAAAAAGCCCAAACAAACAAAAAACTACTCTTTTAGTGGTGTATTTTTTTCTTTTGTTGTTGCTATGCTTTTTTCCCCTATAGATGTCTCATCTAGGACACTCAAATTAATCACACTTCCCCTATTCAGTAGAGGTAATTGTCTTCATTACCTTATTTTGTGATAGCTCTAAGCTGAGAACATAGGCTACACACAGACTTACATGGGGAAACTTCATTATAAAGTCATAAGCATTTGCTTCTTTTGCTGCCTTCTCAATCTCTTCATCAGTCACATCATCTCGTCCGTACTTAATATTGTTGCTGATGGTGGTCCCAAACAAAACGGGCTCTTGGCAGACTACCCCGATATGTTCTCGATAATGCCGCACATTCAGGGCTCTGATGTCATTTCCGTCCAGGGTGATCTGCCAATCCAAAACAGGAACCATATTATGATGCCTTTTACTGTATTGGTTTTAGAGTCTTTCTTCCTACTCTGAAATATGAGCCAAGAAATAGTGCTTCTCAGGAATCAAAGACTGACTATATTTTGACAAATTATTCATAATATGTATACTATCAATACACTTTCTTATAAATGGGGATCTGAGAAAAAAAACTTCAAAAATTGGCTTAAAATCTTGCTAAACCTGAATATTTTTACTCTAAAATTCACTAATTAGGTATTAGTAAGATATATACTCTAGGTAGTACTAATGTCATTGTGGGGAGATATGTAACAAACTTCACTTTGTTGTTTTAAGAGTAATGTGAGCTTTAAAGTTCTTCTGAGAAGAACCCATTTTAACTTCTCATCAGTACTTCACGTAACCACAAGGATAAGTGCCACTCTGCTCATTGCTGTTAGTAAGTGAACTCTGCTTTCATGGTATTTGGTGTCATTAGCCCAGCCCAACTTATTCCTATGACAGAAGCCCAGATATAGAGATCACTGCACCTCTATTTCTCACCAACCTTGGGGGTTGTCTCAGAATGGATATTCTATGCAACTACTTTATACATGGGGTCCTCATCTAGTAATTTATTTAGTCAATATTAGTGCAGAGTCCTGGGTGTTAGATACACCAAACAGAGGCTAAGGAGTAAAATTTAGATGAAATAAGGATCTAGAAGAATAGATTTTTTAAAAATTGAAAATTTGAACAGAAGCATTAGGAATTACTTACCCGAGGATATCACAGTCTTGTTCTCTATGCCATTTACAATGATGAAAAAGTTAAGAGCAACGTTATAAGTTACAGAAAGAAAGTGAAGATATTTTCTACATGCTGACAAACTTTGAAATTCTTGATAAGCTTTGGGTACTACAAATGACTGTGTTGTTTTCCTCTAAGACATCCCTTCACTTTAGACATGCAGTAGTATGTAATTTACTTATTTTCTTGGTTGTCCATCTCTACTAGCATATGAACTCCATGAAAGCAGAGGTTGTTATGTTGTGTCCACTGAGAAATTCCTAGGACTGAGACTAGTGCTTGACATATCCTCGTTTCCTGGAAAATAAGCCCTAGCTGGTCATTGCCGTGGTGATAGCCAGAGTCATGTATTCTTTTGCTTGTGCTGCTCTGTAGTGGAGGGAAGGCAAAGGTAGGTTGATTGGGACTGGCCTTTTTGATCTCTAGATTAACAAGGCTGATTATTTTCTGGTTAGGCCTCATTTTGGAGGAAACAGGTAGTAGGCACTAAATAAATATTTGTGAAATGAATGAATACAAAGGAAAGAAAGTGACGCAGCTTCTCTCTTAGCCACACTGTTAAAAATTCGAAGCCAACATAGCTGCCGGCTCTCTGTAATAGGTGCTGTGTCTAAATCCTGTGATGTGGACTATGCATGGTTTTTCTGGCAGTCTGCACTTACAAAGCCATCATCGGGATCATAGAATCTTTGCAGAAGCTCGACTGCAGTACTCTTCCCACTGCCGCTGGGGCCAACAAAGGCTACTGTCTCTCCAGACTTAATTTTGAGATTCAGTCTTTTCAGAATCTATCAGAATGCATGTAGGAAAATCATAAAGTTAGGAAAAAGCTAGGGTATACATACTTCCAGAAATTTAATGTGCAATTATAAACAGAAAACAATTTCCTCTGTGACACTTAAAAACAAATTTAGATCTTATGGTTCCTTGTGCATGTGTAATAATCTATATAACTTTGGAAAACTAGTATTGAAGAATTTACATTCATTTCTGTTTATAAAGAGGAGAACTTAGCTAGGAGTACTCATAGAATGTTAAATAGCTTTTTTTTTTTGGTACTGGTGATCAAACTCAGGTCCTTCTGCTTGTAAGGCAGGAGGCAGAACCACTGATCTAAATCCCCAGCCCTCTGATATCTTTTTGAGTTATCGAAGGAAGCTTTTACTTAGAGTACATTTAATATTGCAAAGTATATTCCAAAGAACAACTGGCAATGTTTCTGAGTGATACACATGGACAGTATGTCACTATTGAAAACCCTCCCTCTCCAGTAATCTCATGGGCACATTTCAGCATGGTACAAATATTTCACAATTTTTCTCAATGACTAGGGTTTGCTACCAGTATTCAATATCTCAGGGGTCTGTAATAGGAGAGCAGCCTCACAACTACCATCCCAATGACACAGTCTTTACTTGCAATCTATATAATTTTAGCCCAGATAACAGAATTCTCCCTTCAGACTTCCCATTTGATCTTGTAATTTGTAAAGAAACAGACCCTTTTAATAAACCGAGCACAAAACCATCAAAAGGCCAAACAGAGCAAAATATTCTAAAAGAGGTGAGAAATCAGAACCACCAACATGAGTACTTCCTTTCCCACGGGCACTTTTAACTCTTGAATTGGTTTCTTTTCATTCCTTGTAAGAATTGGTGTTTTATTTATTTAAAGTGGGTGGGCACTTTAAAAAAGTCATTTGTGAGCTTAACAAAAAGGGTTATATTTCAAAAGTTCATTTAAAAAATAATTGTTTAGAACCTAAAGAACACTCCCCAGAGCTGTATAATGGCACAATTGGTGCTTAGGTTCCCGGGAAGCCAACGGAAATGTACTTGCAAATTGGAGTTTGAAATAGTCTATGTTAAAGAAAGAGGGTAGAAGGGAACCTAATCCAATATTGGTATTTATGTAATGAAACATTTTTTAAAAAAAGGACTTTGAAAAGAGAATTTCAATAGAAGTTTTGATCAGTGAAAAATAAAGAAGTAGGAGTAGGTAGATTATTTTTAAGGCAGTTTCCATAAAGGCCATTGGAGCTTGATGATACTGTAATTTAATTTTTTCATAGGAAGCCATGTTCTCTATTTCTTCAATGAAAACGTGTTTTCTGAATAACTGTCTTCTGAGATGTAATAATAGTACCTTTTGAATAAATACTTTGATAAAGAGAAAGGTAATGGGAGAGACAGACACACCAACACGTTTTCACAAGAACTTGCCAAAGACCAACTGGAGGACAAATTGTATAGTGTGCATATGTGTGAATGTGTGCATGTGTGTTATTCTTGTGTAAAGATGAGAGGGAAGGTATGTGAAACGCAGTTGTTAATGCAGCAAAGGCCTCAGGGAAGAGAGAAGGTAACACCTGCATCATGTCTCAGATTAGAAACTACAAGGTTAAAATGAGTTATCTAGCTGGGTGTGGTGGCACATGTCTGTAAGTCCCAGCTACTCAGGAGGCTGAGGCAGGAGGACTGCACATTTGACCCCAGTGAGAAACTGTTTCCAAATAAAATACAAAAAAAGCTGAGTATGTAGCTCAGTGATAGAGTGGTAGAGTGCCCATGGGTTCTATCCTCAGTTAAAAAGAAAGTGATCTCACCGGGCATTGTGGCACATGCCTGTAAGGCTGAGGCAGGAGGATTGCTGTGAGTTTGAGACCAGCCTGGTCTACGTAGTGAGTTCCAGGTCAGTCTCAACTACATAGGTTAGACCCTGTCTCAGAAAACAAAAAAACAAATACAAAAATCAAAAACAAACAAAAAAAGCAATTTCTATGTTAAGTGGGACATCTAATAGGCGGCCCCATAAATCCAAGGCATTTTGGTTGCAAATCCAAAGCAGAGATTTCCAGAGAGTTGAAAATGCATTTGTTGGTTAACTAAATGTACCAATAAACTCAATTAAAGCTGAAAAAAAATAAAATTACATATATAAAAAAAAAGAGGCTAGAGAATATAAATGCTTTTGCAGCATAATTACTTATCTGCTCTATTATCTCCTAAAGGCTCTAAGCAAAGTAGCCAACAACTTGATGAAAATCATCCTATGTAATCACATAAGAGATCTTAGGCAGTAGAAGATATTAGAAAACTGTACAGTACTATAAGTTTAACCTACCCTGAGAGATGCGCGTGATGGATAACTGAAAGAAACATTTTTAAATTCCACAGTTCCTTCTATGCATTCAGGTTTATATCCACTTGTTGAAAAGTTGTCTATTCTAGGTTTCTTGGAAAAAGAAAGAGAAATTATAAATCTTCCAAAGACTACACTGATACTCCCTATATCCTAAAAATACCTTAAAGAAGGTTTTATTTTATAGCATTTTCCTTCTACTTTAGAAGTGTGTTAAATTAGGCATGAAGGTTTAAAAAAAACCACAATTTCCTCATAAAAGCACTAAAAGCAGTGTTTCTTTCCATACCATCAGGCCAAGGCAAATTTTGCTCATCCTATTGTAGTGAAATGCAGGTGTTTGTTTTATGGTCTCCTTCAGTAATCTTTCTAAGCAATAAGAGGTCTTACCTTATCAATAACCTGGAAAATATTAAAGGCAGCTCCTCGGGCAACACTGAAGGTCTCAAAGTGGGGGGCAGCTGCTCCAATGCAATAGCTACTATGGATCACACTAAAGAAAACCTACAGGGACAGAAAGAATAATACTTATTCTCCTGCAGTTATATGAGAAAGATAGCAGGAGGAAGCACATATAGTACTTGCTTTAGACCCGTAAAGACATATTACAGGAATTATGTAAGAAAGAGCGGAAAAAGTGGTCACATATGAAGAAAAAGTAAGCTAGTCCAAGTATCCTTGGCCTAATACAGCACAACTTCTGATTGCCCCATGGCTTTGTGACTATCCCCTGCTGGACATCTGACTGCGGAGTGTCCACTAGGCACCGTGCTATAGCTGAGGAGGTGACTGCATTTACCATTTGCACCCTGTCCTTGCTGGCCAACTCTGTGAGCTTCAATAAGAAGACTATGATAGATGTCGCTAGCTCAGAGACATATTTTTCCTCCAGAGTTTTGAGTCTGTTAATCACTGAAGATCTGTCCATTTTCAGACAAACATATCTCTGAAAAATAGTCATGAAAGGACAGAAGTCTGCAAGCTAGGTGCTATTTTTCTTGTCCTACAGGTGAGGGAACTAGAGGAGAGAGGCTCAGCCAAAATTTCTTCATGTTTTCATTTTACATCACATGAAATAAATGAAACATTTGAAGTCTTAACTATGAAATGCTCAAATTCAAAAGATACTTTTAACTGAAAGAAGAGTAATCTGTGGAATGGGAAGGCCAAACAAGAATGGATACATGTGCAGCATATATAGGCTCACCGCGACACATGTTTTTAAACTCTGAATTGATATATTTATTGCTGAAACTTGGGAAGAGAATTGGATATATTAAAATTTAGTACATATTCCCCAGGAATAAAAGACTCTAAATCATAGTGGTGGACAGAGCTATATGTAGTTTGTTTTTTATCATCACTACTTGCTGAAAAGACAGAGGGAGAGCTGCTGAATCCAGTGTACAGATTATTTGCCCAGGGAGGCTAGATTTAGCAAGGTGACCGCAGGGTGCCATCTTATCTCAGCAAACAGGAAAGTAAATGCCTCACTAGAGGGTGGTCTTTCTGACCACTGAGTCAAGAACACTGTCTCCTTGTGGGTATTTTAATTATGACTCTTCTAAACCCATGATGCTTGGCACAATGAGGACACAAAATATATTAGATGAATAAATCCTGTCAATTCATAACTATACTTTAAAATATATATAAATCACATGAAAGAAACACATATGTGTTCATTAAAAGCACTCATCTTTGAATCTTCCTCTTCATTCAAAAAGGAACTTTTACTAAGTTCTAGGTGAGAAAAGATTACATAGGTCACTTTCCTTTGTTCTCAAATAGGACTTACAGCAAGAACAGTTCCAATGGTATAACCAGGTTCTCCACTAAGAATCAAGGAGGTTCCATACCAAAAAGCAAGTCCATAGGTTCCATTCATAAAAAAGTACACAGCACCGAGAAACACTTTTGAAGCGATAGCCTTCTTTATGCCAACATTCTTTGCATCTTTTAGGTTCTGTGTATACCTTACAAAGACAAAACACAGTGTACTATTCTCTGGGGAAAATAAAACCAAACACATTTTGCAATAATTAATGCAACAGACCTTTGAATTTCTTTCTCCTGGGCTCCAAAGGCTATGACTGTTCGGATTGATGACAAGACTTCCTCTGCTACAGCCCCAGCTTTGGAATAGGCACTCAGCTCCTTACAGGTTAGTGAGATGACCATCTATAATAAATCACAACCACAGATTAAATACGGAATGAACATGCAGTAGTAACAATGTACACTGTATTTAGTTCACAGAATCAGAATCCTAGGTAGTTTAACATTACCTAGAATCTAAATCCCTATCTTTTTCTTCTATTGGAGCATACTTGTTTTCTCTCTGTATTTTAAAAAATTATTTTAGATGTGTAGCTTCACTGGTACAATTGGGAAAAACTTTATTTGGAGAAAGATATTAAGGACGCTGTGCTTTTGGAGGGGCCACTTCGGAAATTAGTGGGCTTGAGTTGATTTGTTGCTGTATTCAAAGCAAGACGTCTAGAGTACATAGGAGTCACAGGGCTGTGGAGGAAGAGGAGCACCATCCTGTATACATATGGGATATGACCCTGCCTAACACAGTCTGACAAGTAAATACTTTATTTTTGAATACCGAGAGGTGAGATTTGTAGTGAAAGGAGATATACCACTGTTAATGATACTAGGTTTATCTGAGTTCTCAAAATTCAGAATTACATATACCCTTTTTTTCCATTATATGACTCACCTACTAACCCTTTATATTTTAATAATTAGAATAATAGTTCAATGAAAAGAAAGAGCAAGAACATAATCTTCAGAGCTGAGAGGTTATAATATTGCAGCTTATATAGAACATACATCTACTTTCTAAATATATCCCACAGAATTGGAGTTGATTTCAAGAATGACATACTCACATGACAGGTGAACTTAAAATAAGCTCAGTAATGCTCATTCTTTTCTGAGTGCACTTCATAGAAATAAGTATTCCCATGTACTGGTAGGAAAACACCAACTTATGCAAAACTATGTACAAAAAATAGTATTTACTAAGTGCTTGCCAAATTCAATTGAATTGAAGGAAGCTAGAAACTATCCACCTTGGTATTTCTAGTCATTTGGGGAACTTTGGCCTTATCTGCTTCCTCTTCAGTTAATACAGTAACAGAACTTAGATTCTCCTCTGCCATTCCTATAAAACTCTGTCCATCTCTCTCTGTCCTGGGTAGCTAAGACTCTGGCCTTAGTAACAGTATGAGTAATCTACCCGAGAAGCACTCATTTCAACTAAGTTGGAAGTGAAGACTTTGACAAGGGTTACAAGGTAAACATTGGAAATCACACTGAATAGATTTGTTGTCTAACTATTCAAGCCTATTAATGAATTAGTTAACCCCAGAATAATTTTATTGCTGAAAATTCTTGTTTGGTTGAATTTATATTTTGGTAGTAAATGAGCTCAGGAAATTTTAGGGATTTGATTTACAAAAAGAATAATTAATATTGTAGAACTAAAAACACTGGGTCTTCAGTCTAGGAGGTGCATAATACACTGGTAAAATTGCCAAACACTTACTTTAAAAGAAGTATATTAGGGATATGGTGGTTTTTGGATTTTGTAGAGAATTCTGATTTCAAAACTAGTCTGTAAACAACATTAATACCTTCTGGTATACTTATAGTATAAGACTGCTAAAAATGCAGTTTAGGATGCAAATACATAATTTGTTTAAAAAACAGCTGTATTTATGTTGTACATTAAAGTAGACATTAACATACATTTTAAGTATTATTCAAAGCCTTATAAAATGTAAACTTAAAAAGACAGATATTAAAAATGTTTTAAGTGCTTATAGTTATGGGATTGCCTTCTTTAATTCTCCCAACACATTTATCTGGGGATTTTGAACACACAAGCCTCTCCCAGCAGCAACAACTATACCTCGTATGTATAAAGACATCGTACTTTATCTATGCTATCATGTGAAGCTGCATTAGGCAGCTAAATGAAGAGGAATGTTTTAAAATAAGTATTGAAAACAAGCCTCATTTAAAGCACATAACTTAAAGATAGAAAGGTGATTAGTGAACAAAATCAGAAGTATTTGTGGTCAATAATATCCCTTTGAATTTCGAGACATGGAAAATTAATAGAAACGTCTGTTTTGACAAACCCACTAAGACATAGAGTTCACACTTTTGCTTCCAGCCAATATTATGATCCATCTTGCTTACCCTAGAACACATTGCTGCTGAAGCCATTATAAGGGGAGATGTGGACAGAGTTACCAGGGTGAGTTTCCAGCCCTTTATGAAGCCAATTGTCAGCCCAATAGAAAAAGTAGAAATATTTTGAAACAACAGAGCCATCTTGTCTCCTATTCCCTCACTGATTTTATTGATGTCACTGCAACAAGTAAATACATTTAGATAAGTCATATATGTCAAACATGAAAACAAAGTTGATATACTGCATATTCATCTTCTTACTCAGTCATGCGAGTGTTAAGTTCACCGATGTCATAACCATCAAACCAGCTGATGTCCTGTGCTAAAATTGAATGAAAAAACTGTTTCCGAATTCTCTTGGTTTGCCGTGCTGCAGTCATAACCCAAAAGGAAATCTGTATGTAGCCAAAAATCAAGGCAGTAAGTCCTATTCCAACACAATACAGGGTCAACCTGAAGAAAGATTATTGGAAATGTTAGACTGTTGCTACTTAAAAGTGAAAAAGGAAAAGGAAAGAAAAAAGAAATACATTATAATATTTGATTGAGAAAATTTATGCAAGAACCTAGAAAATAACTAAAATAAGCTATTATAAGAAAAAGTAATGATCTATAGAGTAAAAAATCCTACCAGGCTCCCCTCCCCGCAAAAAAAAGTAGTATAAAAATGCAAATCTTAGCCAGGGGTAGTGGCACATGCCTATTATCTCAACAATGAGACTTGAGGATTGCAAATTTGAGCCCAGCCTGGGCTATTTAGGGAGACTGTCTCAAAGTACATAAAAGAAAAAGCAGTGGGTATGTAGCAAAGGGTCTGGGGTAATCCCTAGGATGGCAAAAAAATAGTACTGCAGTAATTATATAACACATCCTGATGAAAGAGGATTTAATCATTTAATTTTATTTAATCATTTAGATGTAATAATAATCAGACAAATTTTCAGTTATCTTTCTTATAAATATTAAATAAGGCATCATGCTACAAGTATGAAATTAACACTTCATTTTTACTTACATAATCATATCTTTATTCCGCTTCTCTTCAGACTGTGTACAGTTTTGATAATTTGCTGTAAAGAAAATATTTTATATTACAAAGGAAATTATAAGCAGTCATGTGATTTTTGTCAATAGTTTTCCAAATTAAACATATTGGTTTCTGGGCCAGGGATTTAGCTCAGTGGTTCTGCCACTTGCCTTGCAATCACAAGGTCCAGAGTTTGATTCCCCAGTACCAAAAATCAAAACAAAACAAAACATATTGGTTTCTAGAAAAAGTAAGCTTAATGCCTATAAACAAATTTATGATTACCTTATTTTCTATTCTTTAAACTGGTGCTTGAAGTAATTGTCTCTGCTCTCAAGAATTATTCACGTGATGTGAAAAAAATGCAAGGAAACATTAAACGTGAAGCCCAAATCTGGAAAGAATTCTTAAAGGTGCTCTAGCAGGCAAAAGTCAGGAAAGCAGTGGAAACAGAATTCCCCTTCCCTGCCTTTGATCGTGCATTTAGAATTAAGCTTTAAATGCCCCAGGGAATGCTTTAGGAGAATTATTTAGAAAGTCCAAGAAAAGCGAGAACATATGTGGAAGTTCTAGAAGAAGCAGGCATGGAGAAAAGCAGAAATGAAGGTCCGTGAAATGTGTTGGGTTATAATTGGAATAGCCACATAATAAATCTGTGTTTCAAGTAATTCTTGGGTTAAAAGTCTTAGGAAAACTTTCTATGGATCTGCTAGTGGATAGTTCAGGTACATCGAGTGCATTGTAAACTCATTGTATAACAAGGTCTTGATTTCATTAACAGCACAAAACATAGTCAAGATCCACTGTTACAATTTCTTATTTAAACTTCTAGAATTGAAAGAAATTGCAGACATCGGGACACCTTGTCTCTTACATAAATATAATATTTCATGTAAGAATCTATGAACCTTTCTTATGTGTGACCAATTATTTTCCCTTTTTTTCCATTTATGATGTAGTTTTTAACCAGCTTACTCCAAAAATGTCACAATTGACATGGTAGAAGTGAAGATATTAATATTTAGTGGGACATTTTAATGAGATTTCACTGAGCTGATAAAGAGAATAAACATTGTTTTCAAAGTGGTATCACAGTAGCATAAAAACAGTCAAAACTAATTTTGGAGATTATATTAATAGAAGGAGTATGTGCAAACATCTAGTACTGGTACAGACACAAGCCCCAATCATTGGGTTGGGGATTTAGCTCAGTGGTTCCCCCGGCTACCTCACAAGCATGAGTTCCTGAGTTTGATCCCTGGTACCAAAACCAAAAAAACCAAGCCCCAATCATGATGGTTACTAATATTTTATTGTAGAAGAAAACTATGTTGTGTGATTATCCTCCAGAAAAATCAATTTTAATGACTGATCATTATTATTTAAAGGGTTGAGGGTGAGGATAACTCTTAATACTCCTACTTCTCTTTAGTGATGTGTTACAATACACCAATAATATAAATGAATTTACATAAATACTTATCAAACCTATTTTTTTATTCATATTTGATTAAATACATCACAGCGATATTCATCAAATATTTACCACCTGTTTCTATCCAACATAGGCAGGGTAATCAATAATAGAATACATGTAACTAAAGGAATACTCCCAAGTTGTTTTACTCACTTTTTCCTTGCTGAGACTTAGTACCCGGCACTGGCAATTGAAAGGAGGAGAGGTTTATTTTGACTCATGTTTTTAGTTCACAATTGGCTGGCTCCAATGCAGGAAGGCATGGTGTAAGGGCCAGGGTGGAGGAGAGCCATTCATGGGCTGCTGACCAGGAAGCTGAGAGCCCAAGGGAGGAGCTAGGAAGCCACATAAATCCTTCCAGGCCCCATCCCCAGCACCCTGCCTCTTCTGACCAGACCCCACCTCCCAACAGCAAGCCAGCTATCCTGTCTCCAAATCCAACCACCTCTCAAAAGCTCCACGAGTGATCCCATGAGGCTTTGGGGCACATCTAGATATAAACCATAACATAAGTGTCTTAGATTTTTAGATATTCACTTATTTTTTCAAAAAATGTTAATCCATAAATGTTTACCCTATGAGTTGTCGTATCCAGGTGTATAACAATTTATTTAGCTTATATAATTCAAATACAAAGTTTTAATTTTACTTATAATCTTAATTTTTCTTATATCACTAAACTAAAATAAATATCATCTGGAGGGACAGAGAGAAGCAATGTGGTTTATTCCACTCAAATAAGAGTAGACTACTTGAAAGATTATTAGCCTTTGGGGGGAAAACAAGAAAGCATAAATTAGGTGGGGTTCAGAGGGAAAGACACTGCACAAAGCAACATCAGTGTCTAAAAGACAGTGTAGGCTTTAATGAGTTATTTGCTCCGGTTGTACTAAATAGCTATAAGGATATTTCCTAGTGTGGATTTAGGAGACACATATGTAAAATTAGGACATTACCAATATTTGTAATGTCCACCGGATAAAAAATATTCTAGATACTATGTCTTTATATAGGGGGATCATTGGAGTTTATGTTCTAAAGAATATCACTCTGAAGGATATGACCCTGAAATAGGGCCTTACAAAGGATATATGAAAGGCACATACAAATACAGGTAATAAGAAAATGTGCCTACAAATATCAGTAGCACGGAAGCTTTGTTTACTCAATTGCTTGATTTCCGACATCTTTGTCTCTAGTACTGTATTTGTCTCTAGTACTGTAGTTTTCTGTTTGTTCTTTGATGCTTACTTATCAAATTATGCTGCATATGCCCTGCATGTCTTTGTATATTAAAGAACCTTAAGTAGCTTGTAAACAAAAAAAATTAACCATTTTTACTTGATTTGTTCTTTTCTAAAGAAGTCATTAAATATAAATACCTTGGAATAGTCCAACCTTCTGCTTAAATTCTGACATAGTCAACACTTCTGGTAGAACCTTATTTGAATTTCTAGATAGACAAGTTGAGTAAAGGTGGATCTCAGATTATCACATACGACCAACAAATGGCCGAATGGCCTTTAGACTTCTGTTGTAGGTGCGGTAGCATTGGTTCTCTCCTAGGTTTCTACCTGCTGGCCTGCTTGGCATATTTTGGACTTAGTGGACTCCATAATCATGTAAGTCCTTAAAATTTCTGTCTCTATCTTGTCTCTGACTACACACACAAACACACACACACACACAGATATATATCTGTACACAGACATACTATTGGTTCTGTTTCATTGGTGAATTCTGGGTAAGATAGAACAGGTTGTGGTATGGAAGAGTAAATGATTTAAGTACAATATATATATATAATTTTGTAACATTTTTTAGTCTCCAGTAATACAGAAAAGTATCTTGTACTCACTTTTGTTGGTTTGGACTAGACATCCACTAGTTAGGTGATCACTTATTTCTCCTAAAACCAGGGACATTAGAGGGAGGCAAGCTCCATTTACCAATGATGCCAGTATCCCTAGGATCATGAGTGTGATGTCCACTCCATCAGCAAAACGGAACTGCGGGCAACAAAAGCATGGTAGTATTATGGCTATAAAACAGAGAAACAAAACGTCAATTTATAGTTTTTCCCATCAAGTAAATGCTACTTTATAAATTGAGATTAAATAAATTTAAAACCATGGGAACGCGTTTATATATGAAGTGAAGAAAAACAACCAATCTTAATAATTTACAATCAATTTTGAAAGATATAGCTGCTAAGTCATATAAATTGCAGATGATGACATAAGCATCACACATGAGCATCATGCAGAAACTTCTTTCTACTTGGTTGTTTAGAATGAGATATTGTGGAAGATTTCAATGATATAGTTTATAGAAAGTTGATTGGCAAATTTTTAGTTCCCTAGGCTTATTGGCATTATAGTTTTGCCACCACGAGTGTAGTAAACTGTAACCAATTAATAACAATGTAATAAATGCTATTACTTTTGAAATTCCTCATATTCATACTACCCTGCACAATGTCTACCCACTAATCAGGTTCTATAATAATATTCAGGGCTATTTGGCTTACGAAAGAAATGCATGAAAGCCAAAAATTCTTTATATTTTATTCTGTATCAGGTCCCTATAGCACCATTCCAAAACCAAATCATGAACAAAACTTGGAAACATGGATTATTTATCTTACTGAGAAGGCTCAAGATAGAATTTAAAATGATGGGCCCTGAAGTGGTGTAAGCTGAGTTGAATAGCAGTGAGAGGAAGTTACTACATATTTTGTGAGTGAAGACTGAAAACATTTCATGTTTTTCCTTTCACTTGTGCAATGGCTAATTAATATGGAGTAACTTTCACAACATTTTATTCAGCGCTACAGATAAGAAAGCATCTGTTCTCCTGCCTTCTCCCAGAATAGTTTGTTATCTCCTTGATAAAGTTTGCCGTGTTCTGCTACTTCCCAGGGTATTTTTCAATGTGTATTTCGAATAACATTGTCAGCTATAGAGTTGGTTAAGAGAATGTCTGAAAGTGTTCCTTAAATATAATTCCAATTAAGCATCCTGACATATTTTCTAATAAATAAGCTTTAAAAAATACTTAGGTAATTATTTTTTATTTAAAAATAATTTTTAATACTTTTAAAATAATAGCAACATTTATAAATGTAGAATTATTGAAAAATGCTAAAATATAAACATAATGAATGTGGCTATTCTCCATCATTTGACATAATGTTTTGGTTACATTTATGTAACACACACACACACACACACACACACACACACACTTTTGTATAGAATAATGTGGCTATTCTCCATCATTTGACATAATGTTTTGGTTACATTTATGTAACACACACACACACACACACACACACACACTTTTTTGTATTGAAAAAATTAAGCTGTGTGGATGTTGTGCTGCTTTTTCTTATCCATTATCCAAAAAGTCCCTTTTGGATTTTTATTATTTTTTCCTATTGGAAATGATACTTTGATGAACTAATTTCTCTCAAACAGTGTATAAAAACTGCCAATCATTTTGTATACTACTGTCTGTTTCCTAAAATTTTCTGGTACACATATATTCTACTTGATTTCACTTACTATCTCAATAGATCCAACAGCTTGCTTTGCTGCTTTAGGTAATTGTTCTTGTAGTGTTCTGGAAAATAAATATTTAAAATGGCAAAGTTACAATGTGAATATAATTTACAAAATGTTCAAATTTTGCTGAAGTGTGAAATATTACTGCTGGCAGCAATTTTTTTATCAATACTGAAATTTAAAAACAAATGTAATGAAAGTATAAGTATTTTTAGAAAAATCATGGGGAATGCACAATGTTACTGTCCATCTCTAAGTCTGTTAAGGTGACAAATGAAGGCATGTATCTAGAGCAAAAATTAAAAGAAATTATGATAAAATTATGATACATAACAGACTTACTTTACTTAACCATTTAAAAATGTAAAATCAGGGCACTAAATACATTCACATTGCTGTGCTACTGTCCCCACAGAACTTTCTCGTCTTGCAAAACTGAAATCCTGTACCATTAAAGAATTCCACATTATCTCCTTCTCCCAAACTCTGACAAAACTGTTCTATTTTCTGTCTTTATGAATTTGACTACTCTATATACTTCATAAAAGTGGAATCATACAATATCTTTCCTTTTTGTCACTGGCTTAATTTCTTCAAGGGCATCTTTGAATTATTTACTTAGTATTTCTTCAAGCATCATTTATATTGTAATGTATTAGAATCTCTTTCCTCTTTAAAAGGCTGAACACTAATAATCCCCTGTATGAACACTGCATTTTGTTCACCCAGTCATTACTTGATAGGTGCCAGGATTTTTTCCATAATCTGGCCATTGCTAATAATACTGCTATGAATGTGGCTATACATATTGACTTTGTTTACTTTCAACACTTCTGGGTATATATCCAGTAGATTTGCTGAATTCTATTTTTAATTTTTTGAGGAACCATCAAATTGTTTTCTGTAGAAGCTGCTCTATTTTACATTTCTAACAACAGTGCACAAGAATTCCAATTTTTCTACATCTTCATCAGTACTTTTTTTTTTCTTTCTTTCTAATAGCCATCCTCATGGGTATTAAGTGATGAATTAAACATTTTAACCTATTGTACCCAAATGCTGAGAGCACTGTGATCTTTTTTTGTTTTTTTGGGACAGGGTCTCACTATGTAGTTGAGACTGACATGGAACTCACTATGTAGCCCAGGCTGATCTCGAACTCACAACGATCCTCCTGCCTCAACCTTCCTAGTGCTGGGATTATAGGAATACGCCACCATGCCTGGCACTGTGATCTTGAAATGTAATGCATTTAAGTGCATATTAAACAAATGTACTGTACTTTGAATTTTGTCCATTTGAAAATATCACATTTTAGCTCGCATTTCAAGGAGATCCAAATGCAAGCAATAAATCTGATCCAATGCTTTCATGGACATCTGCCAGTTACACACACACACACACACACACACACACACACACACACACTTCTGATTTTAAAAAAAGAAGTCTGAAGAGTAAGAATAGTTTAAAGTTTTCTAAAAAAAGACACCCAAGAAGAGACATATGTAACTTTTCTCTAGCTTTATAACATAAAATCAGTTTTGATAAATGATCATTGGTAGTATTTATGATGACCATTTTAAAGGGGAAGAGACTGAGTCAGAGAGCACACACTCCCAGTTTGCATACCTAGTGATTGAATTTGAGTCTAAAAGCAGAGGTTAAACTTGTAACAAGTAAGCTATAGTGTTGCTTGTGAAATATATGTTCGAGATATGGCTTATTCAGTCTACAGACAATGCTTATGGGTGCAAATGAGTCTAAAATTAATCTGCCTTTTCATTACTCTCTCACACCATTATTCTCAGGCATAGAATCCAAAGGATCTGTTTTGAGTATATGAGGAAAAGGTTCTTGAGAAAGTATGGCCAACAGATAGAAAACATGTGGGAAAATAACAACAACAGAAGATTAAAGGAGAAGTGTGGGGCGTGGAATGAGGATCTTTGGATTTTCAAATTGTTTCCAGCACTAGTTATATTTCATCTCTTTGATAATAGCCAAGAGTACATATGGAAAAACAGGTATGGTGTGGGTCCAAAAAGTAAAAATAGAATTACTAGATGATTATCAACCCCATTACTAGGTATATATTCAAAGAAATGGAAATTAGTACTTTGAAGAGTTGTTAGCATTTCCATGCATATTGCAGTACAATTCACAATAAGCCAAGATATGAAAACAATAAGTTCTTATCAGCGGATGAATGTATAAAATAATTTTTGATATAGATACATAATAAATACTATTTAGCCTTTAAAAGAAGGAAATTCTGTCACTTGCAACAACATGGGTAAATCTTCAGGATATGATGCTAAGTAAAACAAACAAAACAAAAAAATCCCAACATTGCATGATATTACTTTTATGTGGAATCCAACTCATAGAAGTAGAGAGTAGAGGTCTCCAGAGGCTGAGGGTGGTAGGTGGTGAACGGAGAAAGGAGAGAGATTGGTCAGAAGGAACAGAGTTTCAGTGGGATAAGAGGAGGGAGTTCAGGGGATCATTTGCACAGTGTAGTAACTACAGTTAAGAATACTATAAACTCAAAATTGTTAGAAGAGTGGATTTTTAAATGTTCCCATGACAAAAAATAAGTATATAAGGTGATGGATGTATTAAATTAGTCTGATTTTTTTCATTCTGCAAAGTATATACATGTATCAAAATGTCGCATTTTACTCTATAAATATATACCACTATTGTCAACTTACAAGAAAATAAACATATAAAAATTAAAATCTCTCATGAAATAGGAAAAATGTTCTCAAGAGGAATTTTCTTCAGCCTCAAAAAGTTTCTGGTAAAGGTGCTTGACTCCTAAGAAACTGGTGTGGAAGGAGAGGTTCTGACAGCCGTTTCCTGCATTAGTGAACCATGAGACCTGGAGGCGTGTGGGGGGGTCCTATCCAGTCGTGTGTGCAGAGAGAACGTCGCTGTTCTGGTATAAGTGAAAATAAAATAGATTTTAAATTATTTCCCTTTCATGTCTTTAAATTAATAAATTATATGTGTAGAAAATTAAATAACACATACATGTAAGGGCATTACTCAGTGAAAAGTAAACATCCCACATGAAACAGTGTTAAAAAAAATCCAAACTAAAATTTGCAGGTGGATTTCTTTTCCTCTACATATGGGTAAGCTATAAGAAATTCAGAATAGGGTGGGGGTTTAGCTTGGTGGCACTGCGCCTGCCTTACAAGTGCAAGGTCCTGAGCTCAATCCCCGGTACCAAAAAAAAAACTAACAAAAAAGAAATTCAGAAGAGGAGATATTAGAAGTCTAAATAAATAATTTCAGTAGCTGTTACTGAAAGTCACTATTAAGCTAATTGTGCTACTGACTTTTGTTGAAGTACCGCAAAATGCAAAAAGCATTGCTATTTTGGGAAAATAATGTAATTTTTTTTGCTATAGTTTTGAAAAGATTGATGTATATCCAAAGTTGTAGAAAGGTACTTATTGTAGAATTTAGTGAAAGCTTACTTATTTCTCTGATAATCTTGCATCCTTTCAGTTCTTTCAGGATTTGCCATCTTTTTTACAATTTAATTCTTCTGAAGTAAACTATGAGCAAATACAGCATGACCGTGTGAGTTTTTTCATTGATTGTGCAGCATTCTTTACATCCTTAACAGTTTCTGAAAAATACAAAGTTCTCAGAATATCACCCTGCCTAATCTTCCACTCCTACCAGATTTATGTTATTCAGATATTGTTCGAATTTATAACTTCTTTACTTCATTCTGGGCTTCGATTTGGAGTTAATGAAAAATTAGGATTGGGGTGAAAAAGGAAAATGAAAGTGAAAATTGCAGTTTGTCAGGATATTGACTTTTAGGCTTTTACTCCTATTCTGCTGTTGATTTTTTTTTTTTTGAGATGGGGTCTCACTATGTATTTCAGGCTGCCCTTGAATTCACTATGTAGCCCAGGCTGACCTTGAATTTGTGGTGATCTGCCTGCCTCAGCCTCCCGAGTGTTGGGATTACAGGTGTGCACCACACCTGGCCCCTGACACCAAATTGATAGTAATTGATGAAAACTTTGAAATTATCTCATGCTTAGTTTTTCTCTACATAAAACAAAACTCAAATCAATGCAGTAGTTTCTGTTAGCCAGCAGCTTGAAGGAGGAAAGTTTTCTTGTTCATCAAATATAAGCAAATTTCAGTTTGCACCATATATGGATTAATAGTTTAAAAACTACATGCAATATTTTGAAAACCAATCAGCATTAAAACTGTTAAACATAGTATAGCCTTCCTTTGGATAAAACCTCAGGATCTTAGTTTATCTTAAGATCTTAATTTATATTCATAAATTATTATTTCATTACTGATGGGTAGGGAGAGATATTTGTAACAGTCTCACTTATGCCATATATTAACCTATCCTGAGATGCTTATAAAGATAAGATTTAAATAGTAGAGAGCAATAACTAATTAAATAGGACCTAAACATATTAAAAAGCTAATAAACTTTCAGGAAGTAAGCTTCTGAGGGTTGTGCCCCACCCAGTGTATCATAAATGCTTTTAGCACCAAGAAGGAAAGCCTAATATAAATAGTCATCCATCAGCTCTTTTAGAAGTCAATAGTCTTAACTGTGTATAGAAAATATTTACAACTGCTCTACTGATTTTATACGATCGCCAGTAATTTTCATTGAAACAGTTATAAATTAGAAAAGTCATAAAACTATTGGCAAATATCAATAATTTGTATCCTAGAGAAGTTAACAATTATATAATCCAACTAATATATTCACGAAAAGAAAACAACTCCAGCTCACCTTGGTAAGTGCATGATCTATTGTCTATTTACTCCGAAATCCTGCTCCGAATTCTCTGCTTAACCAGTAACTAACTGGGCTTTCGTAGTTAGGCCTTACTGAGGTTATTTGCTGATTGTTCTGCTCTACTATCTGATTGTAACCCTGATGTTAAAGTGCACTGTGTTCTTCATGCCGCCCTGCACTTGGGATGTGACACAAACACAGAAAATGCACTGAGCCAGACAGACACGTCTTCTGTAAAGATCTGAGTGCCTATGTCCCTAGTTTTTGATGATTTTCTATTGTAATATCTTTTTAGTGGTTAGCTGAATTAATAATTATGATAGGTAAAGTACATTTGCACAACAAATATTTGCTGAGTTGTATTTTATATAAGCTTTGATTCTACCACTTCATTATTGCTCCCTGAAAACTATTACCTCCTTGTCTGATTTTCTCTTTCTCTCTTTCTCTTCTTTCTCTTTCTTCTGTTTCTCTCTCCCCCTTCTTCCCTCCCTTCCTCCCTCTTTCTTTTCTCTTTTCTCTGTAAGTGAGGGGATTGAACTCAGGACCTTGCACTTGCCAGGCAGGCACGGTGCCATTGAGCTACATCCACTGCCCCAGGATCTCTTGATATGCTACATAAATTTTAGGATGTTGTCCAGTTCTGCTAAAAAAATCTGTGATTTGTATAGAAATTCTATTGAATTTATATTTCAAGTTGGGTAATACTATCATCTTAACATATTACATCTTCCTGTCTATGAAAAGATGTCTTTTCATTTAGTTTCTGTCTTCTTTAATTTATTTCACCAGTGTGTTATAGTTTTCAGAGTACAAGTCTTTTGGCTCTTGGAGAATTTTATTTTCTGATGCTTTTTTAAGTGAAAAATTTCCTTAATGCTCTTTGCCAATTGTTTATTTTTATTGTACAGAAGGTAACAGATTTTTGCATGTTGATTTTGTGTTATGCAATTTTGGTCAAATTTATTTACTAGCTCTAACAATTGTGTGTGTGTGCATATAATATTTAGGATTTTCTACAAATGAAATTGTATTATCTGTGAACAGAGATATTTTTACTTATTCTTTTTCAGTTTGACTATTTTTCTTTTTCTTGTCTAAGTGCTCTGATTCCAAATTCAAACACTATGTTGAGTTGAAGAGGTAAAAGAAGGCATCCTTTTTTGTTCCTGATATTAGAGGTAAAGCTTTCACTCTTTTACCACTGTGATATTTGCTGTGAGTTTTCTTACATGCTTTTCTATTTTTCACGTTGAAGTTTCCTCTTATTCATAGTTGGTTGAACTTTTAAAATAAAAAACAAAATTTGAATCATGTCAGATGCTCTTTCTGCATTACTTGATATGATCACATTTTTGCTTCATGCTTTGTAGTTTTTCATATCAATTAATATATATACACTGAACAGCATTTGAAATCCTAGAATTAAAATTTACCTGTTTATGTTTATTTTCATTAGTACGCTTGCCATACCTAATGATTGCATTCCTGTGGTGTGTTAATACATGTACATAACAAATTTCAATTTGTTTTATTTCCTCTTCTCCCTCCCGCCATCTCTTGGAATTGTTTATGGTATTTAGCGATTGTAATATTTTGCTGAATATGATTTGCTGCTATTCTGTAAAGGATCTTTGTAAAAATAATTATGTCAGCTTTGTATTGCTCTGACCAAATACCCAAGATAAACAATTTATAAGGAGGAAAGATTTATACTGGTTCACAGTTAGTGATTTCAGTCCATTGTTGCTGGGCTCCATATTTTCTGGGCCTGGGGCCAAGCAGAAGATCATAGCAGGGAATATGTGGTGTAGCAAGAGCTGCTTAGCTCATGGTGGCTGGGACACTCTTGCGTGTGCACATGCACCACACACACCACACAAATGCATGGGGGAAGAAGAGAAGGACGAAGAGAGTGATAATCAGATATTGTAGTGATATTTATCAATACTCCGGTAATATGAAAATAGAATCTGAACATTTTAGGTGGCCTCATCAAAGTCTATGTATGAGTTAGTCAATCCTTACTGACAGGAATGTGGAGATCCTAATGGCAAGTACTTCAGAACATAAAAAGTTATGAAAATAGAAACATTTGTTTACAAGGACTCTTGACTTAAAAATATTCATGAGTTTCTATGACAAGATGGAAACAATAGGGCAAATTACTACTGTGGGAAGATTTTTTTTTGAAAGTTACTTAATCTTCTTTCATGCTTGGTAACATCTATCTGATGCACAGCTAAGATAGACTGGTCACATAAAAGCATAGTCTGTTTGATTAAATGAAGGAAGGTATGAACTTTACAAATGCTCAAAACAGCCAAAGTGGGAGTTGGAAGATGGTTGTCAACTATGGGCCAACTTCACACAACCAATTTTTGTTGTTTTTACTCTTACCATAACCTATTCTTTCTAAGGAAGAAGTGTTTTAGTTTTCTCACAAACTACAGTTGTTTTTACATCCTCTAATATTTTTACTTTCACTTACTGTAATTCCTCAGATGCTGTTCTTGGGGGGGGACTCATTCAAATGGTTGAAGGACTTAAGAGAAAAAACCGAGCCAGGCAGGATGGTGTATGCCTGTCATTCTTGTACTCAGGAGTTCGAGGCAGAAAGAGCATCATGCGTTCAAGGCTCATGGGCTGCATAACAAGATCCTGACTCAAAAAAGAGAGTGAGAGAGTGAGAGAGAAAAACTGAGCCCCTTTCCCCAGAGAGGAAGGGTTCTTCCTCTGTACTACTTTCAGATTAAGACATCCATTTCTCGCAAGAATTACAGCTTCCTACATTGTGGATTTTGGATTTACCAGCCCCCACAATTCTTTGGAATGCTCTCTTTCCCCTTGTACATGTACACACACACACACACACACACACACACACACACACACACACGCACATCATATTGAGTCAGTTTCTCTACAGAAACTTACCTAATATATCTGGAATAAAGGACGGTATGTGATGAATAGTACAAAGAGTGACTGATCTGAGAACACTGAGAAAGAACATTATGATCTAAAACAGTTTACTCACAGGTGAGGTTGGCCCCGGGGTCAGTTATTGGAGCATGGTTAACATTTCAATAAGTGCAGATGCACGGAGGAGGAACGAAGGCATAGTTTCAGGAGTGCAAGGTGAACTACCCCACAGTAGAGGAATGAGCTCAATCTGTTGAGAATGCACAGTTCTTGCAGAAATAGATAAAATAGGTAAGATTATACAAGGCATTGGGCCCATTTTCTAAGGGAAACATAATTTTCTGAGAATGAGAGGCACAAGCATTTGGTATGAGGTACAATTAATGTCATGGGAGGACTGGAAGGGCTTGGGGAAAGGCAAGATTCAAGCAGAGTCTTTACCATCTAGTTTGATAGCAGTCAGGCATCACACGAGAGACGTTTTTAAGGGGATGTGGATTCAGAGGACAAGGAAGAAGAAATGAAAAATAAAAGTCCAAAACACTTTTGTCCGTTTCTTCCTAATTTTCAATCTATTATCTAAAATCTTCATAATATCCAGTTTTTTCTTTTTAATGTTTGAAGAACACAATTCATTTCTAACAAATGACTTGTTCTCTCTTTCTTATGCTAGTTTTTTTATTCATTCAGTTTCTTGGTACATTTTAGGTATGCTACACGATGACATTCATCATTGGGAACTTGCACCTTTACATGATGTACCTTGGTTCTTATTTTTTCCCCATTCCCCTGTCCTCCCTTCACCCCCCCTA